ACCGCCGGACAATTTTCTCAGCACTCCACCCGCACTATACACAGTGCAGGTATAGCATCGCTTTCCCCTCCTGAGTCGCCTGACGGTTTGCCAAAATCTCTTTGAGGCAGTCCGAAAGTCTTTTTCCATGGTCTCTCCGAACTCCTCTCACACCCGAGTTTTTGCTTCTGCCACCACCCGTGCCGCATTCCACTTGGCCTGTCGGTACCTATCAGCTGCCTCCGGAGTCACACAGGCTAACCAAGCCCGGTAGGACTCCTTCTTCAGCTTGGTGGCTCCGCTTACCTCTGGTGTCCCCCATTTGGTTCGCGGATTACCACCATGACAGGCACCAACTACCTTGCGGCTGCAGCTCAGTGCAGCGGCTTCGGCAATGGAAGTGCTGAACAGGGTCCATTTGGACTTAATACAGTGGCTTGCAAAAGTATTCGCCCCCCCCTTGAACTTTCCCACACTTTCCCACTTTCTTCTTGCCACTCAGTGCATAACTAATAGTTGTCCTATGGTCAGATTCCCCCACCTGAGCTGTAGATCTCTGCAGCTCGTCCAGAGTCACCATGGGCCTCTTGGCTGCATTTCTGATCAGCGCTCTCCTTGTTCGGCCTGTGAGTTTAGGTGGACGGCCTTGTCTTGGTAGGTTTAGAGTTGTGCCATACTCCTTCCATTTCTGAATGATCGCTTGAACAATGCTCCGTGGGATGTTCAAGGCTTGGGAAATCTTTTTGTAGCCTATGCCTGCTTTCAGTTTCTCAATAACTTTATCCCTGACCTGTCTGGTGTGTTCTTTGGACTTCATGGTGTTGTTGCTCCCAATATTCTCTTAGACAACCTCTGAAGCCGTCACAGAGCAGCTGTATTTGTACTGACATTAGATTACACACAGGTGCACTCTATTTAGTCATTAGCACTCATCAGGCAATGTCTATGGGCAACTGACTGCACTCAGAGCAAAGGGGCTGAATAATTACGCACACCCCACTTTTCAGTTATTTATTTGTAAAACATGTTTGGAATCATGTATGATTTTCGTTCCACTTCTCACGTGTACACCACTTTGTATTGGTCTTTCATGTGGAATTCCAAAAAAATAGATTCATGTTTGTGGCTGTAATGTGACAAAATGTGGGAAAGTTCAAGGGGGCCGAATACTTTTGCAAGCCACTGCATCCCCAGTCTCCCTCGGAATGCTGTTGAAGCTCTGCCGGATTAATATAATCTTGCTTCCCTGTTTAGCTGTGCCTCTCTTCCTGTTTTATTTTGGTTATTATTTCTACACTCATCACATCCTGTCTGCCAGGCAGCTATACTGTAACACTTACAGTCGTTATAGCACTTAATCCAAAGCAACGGTCGGATGCTATTCCCTTCTTATGGTCAGATGAAAGTTAAGGGATGTTTGCTGTTTTTTGTTATTTGAAAGAGTTGCTTAAAGTAGATTTTTGACTTTTAATTGTGTCTAAATACTAAAAAAGCTTTCACCAATATGTCCATTAAAAATCTTGATTTGATAAAAAAGGTGCCTAAAGTAGTTCTATGTTGCCCTCAAAAATATTCCCTTAGTAATTATACTGCGTCACATTGCTTTCACACAATACAATATGACTGGATTGTATTGCCTATAGTCAAGACTGTTTCCAGTCAGTAACTTAATACCCATTGTCACACTGGAGATCAGTCACCAGATCAGCTAACAGCCCAGATCTATGCTGTGCTAACCTAAAATGGTCCAAGAAGGAATGCTCTGTTCCTCGAAAGAAAATGAATTTCATTTTACTTTATCGCAGCAGAGCGATATTTAAAGCTCTCTGTCGGTTCTTTATTTTACACAGTGAAAGACTTATGTGTAAAGCTGCTGAAAGCGTTTGAACACAATTGTCACGCTTTGTTCATTTGTTTGCGAAAAGTGTTTTTTCTGCAGAGATTACATTTCCTGTAGCCATCCTGCCAGCCTTCCAGGCCTATCCTGCAGTGCCACCACACTATCCCGCTGCTGCTGCTACCCCCTTTGGATTCAACCCGAACCCGAACCCAAACCCTCCAGTGTGGGGTTTTGAGTCACAACAACCAATAGCAGCTCCCCAACCGTCAGATCCCCCTCCTCCTTATGGAGCATATGCAATGTACCCTCCATTGCCAGATTTTGAGAATAAATCCTAGCAACAGGTCTGACCAGATGCTTTGCCAGGAAATGGTGTGAAAACACCGAGAAGCATACTGTGGTCATTAAGAGCCACTCTAGTGTTCACCAAGCACTTCTGTGGCTATAGACTATACCAAATCCCTATAGTGTGTGTTTTACTGCCTCATATAGGAGTATCCACTCCTGATTGTTTCTTTTTGTTGTTTTTTTTTTAATTAAACACTTCATATCTTAAGTGTCTACGTGTTCCAGAAAGCAGAAAATGTATAACAGTACTTATAATGGAACTGTGGTCAGTATTAGGACCCTACATTCTGTTTCTTTTAAATACTTCATTGATGACCGGAGTCTTCCCTGATTGTTTTAAATCTGCTGTGGTAGTGCCAATCTTGAAAAAGCCTGGACTGGATGTTGACTTAGTTGCAAACTATAGACCCATCTCACATTTTTCTTTTTTGTCTAAGGTCTTTGAAAAAGTTGTTTTTAAGCAGCTCACTGATCATCTTTCAACAAACAATCTGTTTGAACCATTTCAGTCTGCTTTTAGACCAAATCACTCCACAGAAACAGCTTTAATCAAAGTGGCAAACAGTCTGTTGGTAAATGCAGACAGTGATCGCACTTCAGTTTTAGTACTACTAGATCTAAGTGCTGCATTTGACACTGTGGATCACTGTATTTTATCGGATAGGCTTGAACATTTTATTGGAGTTACAGGAAATGTTTTATCATGGCTGAGATCTTATCTGTCTGGGAGATCTCAGACTGTTAGTTTTAAAAATGATCTCTCCGAGACCTGTGCAGTGGGGCATGGGGTCCCTCAGGGCTCTGTACTTGGCCCATTGCTGTTTTCCCTGTATCTGCTGCCTCTTGGTGTTCTTTTACGTTCTTTTAATGTAACTTTTCATTGTTACGCTGACAACCTGCACCTTTATGTTCCTTTAACCATTGGAAATTGTGCTGACATGTCTAAATTAGAATCGTGTCTATCTGCAATTAGGGGCTGGTAATCGGATAACTTCCTGCTTCTTAATACTGATAAGATAGAGTTGATGGTCACTGGACCACAAAAATTTCAATACATGTCCCAAAATTTTATCTTGAAAATTGAAGGTAAAAAACTTGGGCGTGTGGTTTGACACAGTGCTCTCCTTTGAGTCTCATGTAAGAGAGACAACAAAGACCACCTTTTATTATTTAAGGAACATAGACAAAATCAGACAAGTTTTATCAAGCAAGACTGCAGAGGTTCTTCTCCATGCATTTGTGTCTTCACGTATTGATCATTGTAACGATCTCTTTTCTGGGCTACCAAAGAAAAGTTTTAGAGGTTTACAGATGGTGCAAAATGCAGCGCCTCGCATTTGAACTAAAACTGGAAAATTTGAGTGCATTACGCTGTACTGAAATCCCTTCATTGGCTATCTTGTCAGGTTTGAGCAGATTTTAAGGTCCTGCTGCTCACCTACAAAGCTTTAAATGGATTGCCACCTTCATACCTCTCTGATCTTTTGCACCTTTATGTTCCATCCCGTGGTCTCCGATCCCAGGATCCCTTTCTGAAAAGTAAAGAGTAAAATATTTTCCATTCACTGGTTAACAGCATTACAATATCAAGCCTGCAGGTGACATATAATGCACTTTTTTGTTTTGTTTTTTTGGTATCTTTGAAATAAAGCTCTGTATGATAATAAACTTTTTTAACGAAATAAACGTCTTTGGGGTGGTCTTTGGATTTTAGTAATTTTTCAAGATATACCACAAAACATGAAGCTGACATAACTAGACATCTTTTACTTTGAGTTAATTGCTTTCAGTTCATGGGGCCATCAAAATATTGACCGCAACATTTTTTTCCTGGTATGTTTTAGGTTTTGCCAGTGTTTCCAGATTAATTTTGACTATTAAGACAAAATTAATCTGGTAAGAGGGGTCATTAACACTTATTAACACTAACTTACTTAGAACGTGTTTCCCCAGGAAAAGTTGATACCGTTCATATAATATTATTTCTAAACCTACTGTGAATATTATAGTGTTGTTAGTGATACTTTTACTGTTTTATTTAATAGTAATGTCCTCCAAACAAGAATTTGTTAATCCTTTTTGGGGAACTTCCCCCAAATTTTTGCTATCAAAATATGTGGAAACTTATCTCCCAAGCCTTGGGAATCAGGGGCCATGAGAACAGCAGCATGCTCCCCCCCCCAAAAGGCCCTTTTGTCAACTCTCTGAAAAACGGGGTCTATTGTTAAGGTTACTTCTCATCACCTCTGCTTAGGATTTCAAAGAGTTTTAACATCATGGCATGTAATCTGCATCAAGTGGAAAATTTACTTTAGGTGTGGTGAAATATATCATGTGATGCAGCCAGCATGTGGCAGTCACACCTACAATAAAAAATAAATAAAGAGAAACAAGGTGGTATTTTTCGCTGCCCCAATATGTGGTTGTGAAGAGACCATGCTGGTTATCCAGAGAGTGTGTCTCAAATCATTCATAATGTAATCTCATGTTAAACCCCGTTAAGTTTCCATAGCTGAAAATCTTTTAGTGGCACTGCTTTGGGAGGGTGTATGATACAAGAAAAACTGGTTTCACATTATTTGTATACTTGAAAGCAGATATAACCGGCAGAGAGTGGCTGCGCTGGGCACAACTGGCCTGAGTTTTCTCTTGGTTTTTGCAACAGAATTTTTTTATCCCACTTTTTGCCATCTGAAAATGACCATTACAAGATTCTCAATCGAATACGATGCCATCAACAGCAAAAACACCTTCACGAATGGAGATATCATTAATGGAAGAATTATTGTGGAGGTGTCTGGTGAAACCAAAATCCAATCGCTGATTTTTAGAGGACAAGGGAGAGCGAAGGTACGCTGGACCGAGAATTACGGAGAGAATGATTACCGCGATTACTGGGCTACTGAGACATATTATGACATCAAACAAGATATCTTGAGAGAATCAAGACACGATGGTGATGTATTGAATTAACACTGTTGCTGACACGTGATACACTGTTCCTTGTTTAACAGACTGTTCAAAACAACACCTACTTCTTTTCCAGGCACTGAAGTCATTGGAAAAGGAAGACACGTGTATCCTTTTTTGTTCAGGATTCCTGATGGGTACCTCTTCTTGTCTTAATCAGAGGTTTAGATTTCCATTCTGCTTCTTAGTGGGTCATTTGAATGTTTTTGTATTGTATTTTACAGAATACTGCCATCAACCTATAAAAGAGCCCGTGGAAAAATTGTTCATAAGGTGAAAGCAGAGCTGACACAATCAATTACAAGAAAAACCAAGGCTCACTTCACTTTTGTGTCCAAGGCAGACATGGGTATTCCTGGACTTCTGGTAAGAAATCATTAATCCTAAAAAAAAAGCAATCATTTAATTTCATAACTGATAGTGTTCAGGCAGACGAGATCATCACCTTAAAGCACATTTATAATGTGGGGGTCTGCTTTTTAGGAACCTCAGTATACTTGTAAGGATAAATCTGTTTTGGGCTCTGGAAAGGTTTCAGTAGATGTCCATACCACTCAGATGGGATACATGCAAGGTAATTATCTTTACTTGGCTTACTGCCTTTCAGTATTCAGTTTCTGCCCTCTCCCTTATTTTTATTTTTCATTTTTTGGAAAGTGACTATAAGTTTGGTTGAGTCAAGCGCTTTCACTCTTCAGATAAAGCAGTATTTTTAAATGATACTTCCCATCATTTAAAAATACTGCTTTATTTCATCCCAGCTCTCAGCTACTTAAAGTGCTTGTAAACAGGAAACCAGTGTGCATGATTCAGTGAGGGGTGTTTCTGTGGCACTGATCCTTTGATTAGTGAAAGGAAGTTAGATATTATGTAGATGTAAGGAAATGTCTTTCTGTGCTTGGCAGTGATTTATACAGGATAACTTTCTGTACTTTACAGGCGAAGCTCTCGTGGTCACAGTTGAAATCAACAACAACTCGAGTCGCACAGTGAAGCCCAAATTCAAACTGTATCAGAAACACAGTTTCTTTGCCCAGGGCCACAGGACAGTTTACACACACGACATCCTTAAGGATAAGGCTGAGGCTGTTGAAGCATCTTCTGGCAGAAAAACTGTGACCAAGGTGATCACCATCCCTGGAGACCTACCCCCCTCCATCTTGAACAGCCACATCATCAACCTGGAGTACATGCTGAAGGTAAACAACTTGTAGAGCTGTCCTTTTGTTTGTGTACTTGAGTACTGCTTAAGTAATATAACTAATGGTAGGAAGCTTGGATGGCTTGTCTTTGTTTTATTTTGGTTGTTTTATTTGGGCTGCTAGTTGGTTAGTGGCACCTCTTTTCTGTCACAGGTGACTGTAACAAATCATTTTTATGGAAAACTGCTTTTCTTCTTTTTAACGTTCACAAAAGGAAATACAACAAAGGATCTAAGTACTCAAAGGAACTAAAGTACTTCCATATAAAGGAAGAAAAGCACTCATTAAGAGGCAAGTGCAAACACTAATAGGGAAAAAAACAAAGAGTGAGAAACTTGGATTAAAGCACGGGAGCCCTCTAGTGACAAAACAGGGCAACAACAAAGGCCTGCTGATATAAATACTTCCTAATCATGCGAATCAACATCTACATTCATTGAAACAAACAAACAAAGCTAAACAATACTGTTTGTGTGTTATTTTGTTTCCACAGGTCCAAATGAAAATCAAATGTTCCATTGATCCAAAGCTCAAACTTCCTATAGTTATCATGCCTGCGGTTGTGAAACAACCACATCCTTCTGCTGGCATTGGATTCGACACTTTTAGGAACCCAGAAAATCCAGCCTGGGGAACTACACCCCAGCAAACACCACCCCAGTGTGGAGATCTTCCACCTCCCTACGGAGCACATGCGACGTACCCCACTACCACTCTCGATGATGATGGCATTGAGATGTTAACTTTTTGAACTGTGTGGATCAAAGTGTACCTTCTAACAGACCCATAACGATATATTGTATTTCCAGTGAGGAGAT